ACTACTTAGTTTCCAATCACTTACTAGCTGTGTGAGCTTGGGCAAGTTACTTAGCCTCTACCTCAGTTTCCTCTTCTGTAAAATGGAGATAATATTATTTCTACCATAGAATTAAATCAATTAATATAGGTGAAGTGATTAGACTAGTACCTAGTAGATACTGTTATACGAATGTTTTCAAATATTATTAATATTTTTCTCTTTTGAGTCCTTTCTCTCAAAATTCCTATTCTTTGGATGTCTTTAAGTCAATAAACTACGTTACAGATGTATGTGAGTAGCTCATTATAGTTTAATGCAGGTGTGGGCAGACTATGGCCAGTGGCCAGGCTGCCCTTGAGCTAAGAACAGTTTTTACATTTTTAAAGAGTTGTAAAAAAAGAAAGAGAAAAAAAAGACTGTGTAACAGAGATAGTATGTGGCCCACAAAGCCTAAAATATTTACCATCTGGCCCTTTATAGAAAAAGTTTGCTGACTGTTGGCTTAATTTGTTTTCCCTTTCAAATATGTTTCTGATTTAAAATCACCATGCTATAAATACCAAGGAATAAATCTCTAAAGGTGGAATTTCAAGATATACTGTAAACAGGAAGGGAGATAATTTTGGAAAAGGCAGATTATATTCCATCTTGTGAATATTTGCTCCCCTGCTCTGTGGTAAGATAACATTTTCTACCAGTAATTAAGAACTGCTTCATAGTAATGGAAGGCAGGGTAACATAGGATCAAACAACCCAAAAGGTACTTAAACTCACCAGACTGAATGGAGTCTCAACTATTATGGTGTTTCTCTTAGCCAACTCTATCCTGCTGATGGTGGCAGTCTAACTACCATGAGAATCCAGGATCATATCAGGTCTGGAATCAGCAAATTTGCCAGGCTAAGTATCCAGTTCCTTGCCACAGACCCTTGTGGTAATGAGCCTGGAAGTAGGAAAGCTGACTCAGGAAGTCTTTCTAGACCCTGGTTAGGCACATTTCAGAGAAAGAAAGTTGCCAGCAGGAAACTCTTCATAAATATAAGGTTATTAAAAACAATTGTTCTCAAAAGGGGAAATTAAGCTAGTTCTTTTGTTTGCAAACAGAAAGAATATTAACCACTTGTGACTACCTGAGTAACTTTACTGCTTTACTCAGCCTTAACCAATTCGTAGCTTTTCCATTTGTTTTCATGCAAACCAAACGGCCAGGCAAGAGAATGGAGGAAGAGAGTTCTGGGTAGAGACCTGATGCTCCTCTGAAGGCCCTAAAGTGAGACTTGTAGGAAGCTGGCACTCTGTCTAGGAAGTTGACGGGGTGTGGGTGATCCATTTGTCCACTGAGTCCAGGAGTCTGTGGTGGTGTTTTATTGAATAGGGGGTGGGGGAATGGAGGACCACTTCCTTTCTGACCTTAATTGGGCCTTCTGAGATTCAAACATGAGTGGTCAACCAAAGGCTTGTGGTTTGCTGGAAGTCTATTTACATGAAAAACTACGGACATTTCCTGGGCAGAGCTGGTCAGGCAAGTACCTTTGGCACAGTAAAAAAACAAAAACAAGAACAAAGAAACAACCTTAGTTATAAAAAGGCAGAGGTGAACATAGCACAGATACTATATTCGTACTTGACTTTCAGCCCATCCCCTGAGTGTCTAAGTCCAATTAGAGGAAGGAGGGCTCCAGAGTCTATCCAGAGTCTATCCTTTCCCTGCAATAGACTTTCAAATAAAAAGGGGGTTGGGGAAGGAGAGATCCAATTCAATTTAGCAACTTTGTCTTTCCCCAAGTAAGGTCATTTAAAAATACATATACCATCCAATATCACCATGGTTTCAGAAAAGAAAGAGAATTGTAAAAGAGATATATGACAATATAAATTCGACTTAAAAACTGAGTTACTTTAGCCTTTATTAAAAATCCAGAAAGATGAAAACTTTAGAACAGCTTCTAGGAAAAATTCTCTACCATGTTGCTAACTACTACATCTCATTCCTTTTCCTCTTTGTTCCTTCATCATCGCTTACTCCCTGCCACTGATCTTCTCCCACACACAGCCCCCCAGTGTTTCTAACCACACTTTCTTTTTCTTAATTACATCATTTTAGTAGGGCCTTGGGTCAGCTATGGTCTTGGGAAAGCATGTAGATGAGCAGATACTCAGGCTGAGTGAGACCTATCCTGGAAATAATATCCCAGGAGGGATAATATTATCCCAGGAGGGCAGGGCTTTGTCTTATTTTCCACTATATCCCCCCCTTCCTGAAAATAGTGGTGACAGGCAGGATATAGTGAATAATGAATAAAATACAGGCAAGGTATATACAGGTTCCATTCTAACACACCACCAATGACAACCAAGTAATAGTCCTTGGTCTTATTGAAGGTAATGACAACATTTCACAAGTCATTCATGATTAAACCTCTTTGCAGAAATATGAGAAGGAAAAATGAATCAATAATACACTGTTCTAGGGCTTACCTGGTGGTGCAGTGGTTGAGAGTCCGCCTGCTGATGCAGGGGACAGGGGTTCGTGCCCCGGTCCGGGAAGATCCCACAAGCCGCGGAGCGGCTGGGCCCGTGAGCCATGGCCGCTGAGCCTGCGCGTCCAGAGCCTGTGTTCTGCAACGCGAGAGGCCACAACAGTGAGAGGCCCACATACAGCAAAAAAAAAATACACCGTTCTAATCCAACCATTATTATACTTTTCTTATTCACTGTTTTATAATATGTATTTAAAATATATTTGCAATCAGAAAATTTGGGATAGGAAATGTGGAACTTATTTTTAAAAGAACCAATCTCTTTTGCCTACATGACATCACAAATAACAAACAGTGAGGTTGCTTAAGTAAGTCTGAAAGAACCTTTGATAATCTATGTCAGTACAACAAAGCATGTGGTATAAATCACAGAAAACTTACTGGTCAAGGAGTCATAAGACGTGCATTCTCTTGCTGGCTTCTACTCTAAGGATTTCAATGTCTCATCTGTAAAAGGAGGACTGAGGCTCCATAATCCCAAACGTCTTCTTAAAGTCTGAAGTTTAATGATTCCTAAAAAAGATTTTATTGTTTTACATTCTGATTGTAAGGCAGTTTGTAGATATAATATTTATATGCTTATATACATAAATTTATATATTTATATATAATAGTAAATATTAACTGAGATATATGAGCTCCTTCCACGCAGAAATAGATTTTAGAAACTCACATAAAGAGACCATTTCTAATTTTTCCAGACAATTTTTTTTAACCTGGAGGAACTGGAGTAAATCGTTTCACTTAACAGATAGATTATTAGTAAAGTCTCAAAGGTAAATCTTTATCCTTATAAACCAACAAAATAGAACGTTAATTCAAAACAAAGTGACGACAACAAACCAGCTAGGAGTCATCTAAGGGACAGAGTGAGGATAAAACATTAATTGGTTCATTGGTGCAGAAATGGGATGAAGAAAATTCTACCACTATGCTCCTACATAGAAGAGGGTAATGCAAGAAATTCTTCCTTGTAGTAGAATTCAGGATCAGCCCTCTCCCCATCTCTCTGTTTTTCCAAGGACTAAACTACCACTTCCTCCAGAATATAAGTGGCAACCTGATGATTATTTCATTAATCTCTGTATAAGCCTTCTTTTGGGGACTGAGGGGACCACGAAGGTTTAAGGCAACACCCCCAGAGGTGACAAAAACGCACTGGCTGCGGAGATTGTTTGTACTAAAACTTTTATTTATTATTATTTTTAAATTTTTTGGCCGCGCCCTGGGGCACGCCGGATACCCACCAGGGATGGAAGCCATGCCCCCTGCATTGGGAGCGCCGAGTCTTAACCACAGGACTGCCAGGGAAGTCCCAAAACTTTGATTTAAATAGCACAAATTCGTCACAATTTCAAAAGAACCAGAAGTAATTTATATTGTAAGCACTTAAATCGAAGAACACTAGAACTGCTTCCTGTCCTGAAGGCTGACTGAATTCGGACTAGCAGCCACACTTCAGGATTTACCAAAACCTGGAGCTGTTCACACGCGTTTTCCTGCACCAAACGCGGAGGTGTTCATCCACGCCATGTTAATCACATTAATAAGCGTAATCATCCTATCAGGCTGCAAACTTCACGTATATAACAGTGACTTTCCCACTGCGTGTCGCCTGCAGGAAACGGATCCCCGCAGCGACTCTGGGCCTTTGGCCGGGTCTTGGGAAAGCTCCGAGTCCCGCCCCGCCCTCCAAAATCAGACCTGAAGACCGGTTCCCCGCGCTCACCGCGGTCTCCTGCTGCCCTCTGCCGGGGCCCTAGCGTCAGGCTATGGAAGGCTGCCGCGTGGCCGCCGGGGGGCGCCAGGAGGGTGACGTCACCTCTGTGCGCGGCCCCTCGCCGGAAGTTATTCCTGTCAACTTCCGTCCCTCTGTTCTTCTCCAGACCCCAGAAAGGAAAGTAAAGGTATTTACATCGCCCAGTTATAGTCCAAGTTGAGGTCGGTGACTCGCTGCTGGCGTGCTTTTTCTTTTTAGAAGCGGGTCTGGGTGACTGTGATGTGTAACGGAGTCCCATTCCCGTGCAGCCCCTTGCAGAGTTTCTTTGTGGGAGGAAGAGGGATGGAAGAACCCGTGGAAATACCCGTGGAATTTTTGAGTTAAAGACTCAACTGGGTTCGAACCTTGCTTCAACGAGCTAAGTCACGCTAGTAAGGGAGCTCGGCGCTTTTTCTGATTTTGTAATTTTAGGAATGATGCCGACCTTATAAGTTGTGGATGTTAAGTAAGATAATGTGTGTGAAGCACTTAGTTCTGGTTTTACAAATTATACTCTGATTCTGCCGCCTTTACCTCTCATACTCGGGCTTGTACTTGCCATTTTCTTCTCAGTATCTCTGAGAGATGCCTAGTATATAAGAGGTATGCATCTCACGAGAACATTATGCAGTGTTAGCTGAGATTGAGCTCCTCATTCTGTATTACAAGTCCTGACGTTATTTTATCCCCGCCCCTTTTATTTTTCCATTTCTAGGAAACAGCTATTTTTCAGCTTTTCTGGAGGAATACAAAGTTCTCTTTCCTTAAGACAAATGAGGTGAGAAGTTCATTGCTGTAAATATCTCCAAACTTAGCTCGTTTTGTCAAAACTGGAATGTAGAAGCCTGGAACCAGTGATTACCCATTTCCATTAAAAGCCCCTTTGTCCGGGGAATTGTGGAGCAGAGGGGCTCGTAAATCTTCCTTTATCCCTTAGACCTCACAAGTTACAGGTACAGAGATTTTCAGATTTTCAGTGTATTTGCTAATTTTGGCCTTTAGCTCTTGGAATAGTGGCTTTGGTAATTAAAAACGTCAATTTGAGAGACAGATGGAAATAAGTTATGGAATATTAATTAGTTTTGAAATTTGTAGATTGAGGCAGTTGGTACTTCTTGCATTAGGCTGCTTAAATATTTATTCACCACGCTAGATGTAATAGGAGTATTTTGAATGGAGATTAGATGCTAAAGAAGTAAAATAAATTGATATTCATCAGGCTTAACTTTTTTGTGTTGAAAACTGAAAAATAACTGTTATTCTATTTTTTCCCCTCTCTGTATATATTAATGTCCCCTCCCCCCTTTTTATTTAAGTGGTATTATCCTAGCCACTGTACTGTTAAGCAGGTTGCCACTTAGAATGGCTTGGACATCTTTCTATTGTGTTAGATCTGCCTCATTAAAAAATTTTTTTTTTTAATTTATTTATTTTTGGCTGTGTTGGGTCTTTGTTTCTGTGCGAGGGCTTTCTCTAGTTGCGGCGAGCGGGGGCCACTCTTCATCGCGGTGTGCCGGCCTCTCACTGTCGCGGCCTCGTTGCGGAGCACAGGCTCCAGACGCGCAGGCTCAGTAGTTGTGGCTCACGGACCTAGTTGCTCCGCGGCATGTGGGATCTTCCCAGACCAGGGCTCGAACCCGTGTGCCCTGCATTGGCAGGCAGATTCTCAACCACTGCGCCATCAGGGAAGCCCCTGCCTCATTTTTAAAAGGAGGATGTGTAGTATTATATTGTATACATGTACCACTATTTATTAATCATTCTACTATTGGTGGCCATTTGGGTTCCTTCTTTTTTGCTGTAGCAAGTAATATTATAATGGTCATCCTTTTTTTTTTTTTTTAATAACAAATGTGTATTCTTGTCCTTTATTTCCTTTGGATAATCTCCAAGAAGTAGAAATGCTGGGTTGAAAGATATGATGGATGGTACCAAATTCCTTAACAACAGTAATATTTGAGAATTCCCCCCATTTCTTCATATGTTTACCAACTGTTGATACTAGTTACCATTGTTTTTAGGCTTAGCTAAGACTGTTCATACCATTTTGAGGGGGTCAATTTATTGCATTTATAGTATTGTAATCAAAACCAAATTTTTGTTGCTATTTTTAAGTCCAGTTCAGCTCTTTTTTTCCCCTATGTAAATAGAACACTTAGTTTTAGATTCTTAGTAACAAATTACTATAAAACAAATGATTCACTTCAACTTCAAGTATTTCTTAAGTTAAAGATTTGTGGGAAGATACTGTTTGAATGGGATCTTGTACTGTGGATAGACATTAGGAGGATAGGCCTTTCTGAAAGACAGAACAGCTTAAAAAAAGGCAGGGAGACAAGAATGGTCAAGGATGTTTACGGCCTGAGATTTGAGAGCAATGGTGCTTTGTTGTGAGGTTGTAGAATAGAAGAGATAGCTAGAAAGGTCAATCTGAAGATTTTACCTTCTAGGGGAGAGCTACAGAAGTCAGGGAATCAGGGAATGAGGGACGTGATCACATCTTTGTTTTACAGGTGTACTGTGGGGGCAGTTTTGAGTGACTGATGTTAGAGAAGCAAGTTAAGCGGCTGTTATAGTCTGAGAGAATAGCAAAGAGTAGAGAGATTGGATTTCAGAGGTACTGAAGAAGCTGAGTCTACATGATTTAATGACTGGGGTTGAGGAATAGAAAAAAAAAAGCTTACTTTCAGATTTTTTTTATCACGAGTGATTACTGAGTAATAGTGATTTCATTAATCAGAGGAGGGCTGGTTTTGGGGGCTGGGAAGGATGCCCAGTTTGGTTTTGGACATATTAAATTGTGTGAAAGATATTTCTGTGGAGAATAAATTATACACAAAGACAAAATCCCCCTATGACAGATTCGGGAGAAACCTTAATTTATTCCTCTTTTGTTAAGATATTTGGCATATATTTTTAATTTTAGTTTTTCATCAGTAGAATTTCTTTTGAATTTTCTGTGACTCGTTCAGCCCTGTTTCTCAAGAGTAGAGTGTAGTCTAGAGTAGTAGTCATAGACATTTTTGAACATGTACAATCTTAATAAAAAGGTTTATAAATGTACCTCCAATATAGGTATATTTATTTACTAATTAGTTATATACATGTTTTATAGTACTATTATATTGTATACATTTTTACATTATGAAACATGTAAAAAGTAGAAATTTTAAAAGGCCAAGACAAATATAGATTGGAGTTTTACTGTTTTCTTCCTGCGTCCCATTGGATAATCTCTCACCCCTCTTTGGAAAGTACTGGTTTTATCTACAGCTGTCAGTGTTCTGTCCCATTATCCAGTAGAGGTCACCCTGAGCATCTGGAAGAGAGAGCAGGTTGTTGAGCAGGGCAAGGTAAAGCCTGCATTCTTTAGTTAGGAGGATCTTATTTTTAAGTTTCTATCTTCAGGCATTTTTGGAAGAGTATGTAGTTATAGAGTACTATGTGGTATTATGGAGACATGAAGAATAATGAACTCAGAGTATAGGGCAATCGAAAATGTGCTTTTGCTGTTTGCTGTTTACTTTGTGAGGGTTCTGTGTTTTGTTTGAATGTTATTTGAATCTGTAGTTTTGGAATCTTTTGTTAATTCTTTGATGATTGGTGGATTATCTGAGTTACAGGAATGTTCCCAGCCTGTAGGCATAATCCAAGTTCTTGTTAGATTATAGTAATTAAAAGGACAGACACAGAGGAGCTTTTCTTATATGGACCTTGAAAGCAGTATCTCAAGCCCAGAGATATTAGTGGTGAGTTGGAACCATCTATCTGTATTTTCTATTTTATGCTTAATTAGCAGAGAGGAGAAAGGAAATGCCTCTTTTAAGTGATAAGAGCCTGTTGTAAGTAATTAGGAATCAGGAACTAAGTTTTTCACAGCTGTATAGTCTGAAAAGGAGAAGGTACAGTTAAAAAGGTATTATATGTTGTTGTATGACTGAGACCACAAACAACTTAGGAACATAAACCATCTGACAAGCTGGATAACAGAAGAAAACTTTTCTGTTAATTTTCTCATAAAATATTTCCTATAAATAGAGGTGCTTGTTTTAGTAGGGACCTATGATTATTATCATGTATAAGTTCATCCATTTTATGCCCTATTTCTAAATGATCAGGAAAATGAGTTAACAAGGTTTTAGTCACTTGATCAAAGTTACATGTGTTGTGACACAGATGCAGAGAGTCCTGAGTTAGTCTTTTATAAAATGGTGGTGAGGAGAATGGCAAAAGTAACTTTTAAAATGTTTACATCCCATCTCTCTGTATAGTTCCACATGCGGTGGACTGTGTGTATGAAATATCCCAGCTAGATCATTATGAAGATGAAAATTGGTTTGGAGTTGTTGGGTTAACCCAAGAACCAAGGGGACATTAGGGTAAATTGAGTGACATGGAGATTGGCATCAGGAGCTATGTAAGATAAGAATTAAGGTTCTAATGATAGCATGGGTTTAAAGAGTACCATGAATCTAGAAAAAGGTGTTTAAGGTGGAAATTAGGTAGTATGAAGTGTTGGTTTTCAGGGCTAGATTTAGAGGTTTTTAAAAAAAATTTTTTTTTTTGCCTGTGTTGCGTCTTCCTTGTTGTGCGTGGGCTTTCTCTAGTTGTGGCGAGTGGGAGCTACTCTTCGTTTCGTTGAGCAGGCTTCTCATTGTGGTGGCTTCTCTTGTTGTGGAGCACGGGCTCTAGAGCGCAGGCTCAGTAGTTGTGGTGCATGGGCTTAGTTGCTCCGCGGCATGTGGGATCTTCCCGGACCAGGGGTAGAACCCTTGTTCCCTGCATTGGCAGGCGGATTCTTAACCACTGTGCCACCAGGGAAGTCCCCTAGATTTAGAGCTTGATAACCAGGAAGTGAGAACAGAGGCAAAGAAGAGTGGTATCTATGGGCAGAGGCAAGGCCAAAGATCTAGTAAGTTAGAAGACAAGGCAGAATTGAAAGCATCAATTAGTAGGAATAAGCCAAAGGTTTGGAAACCAGGAAGATAAAGCAGAGATGGAGAGGGGCAACTGATTTTGGGTAACCAAGGCAGGCAAGGCCAAATAAAAAGAGGAAGGTAAAGGCAGGAATAATTCTGGGGCAGTGATGATGCTGTACTGCTTTTCTTTATGTTAAGAATAGAAGTGGCCCCTGACCCACAGATAATCAGAAGCAGTGAGCTAGGGAGTGGGAGTGTGGTGGTGGGATTGTTACCACAGCACCAGGAGAGCTGGATCCCTAGGTGTTTTCTTACAGAAATGACCATGATAACTTACAGGGTCATAATATGGTCTTTTATCTCTTTAACATGTGTGTTTGTATAATATTATATATGTTGTTTTATACAGCATTCCAAAAGGTTTGGGCTACCTGACCATTATGGCACCAAGAAACCTCTTGTATATGAGAAGTAACCTTTTTGGTTCAAGATGTTGGATGATCCGATTTTCAGCAGAAATCCTCTTTAAATCAGTTTCATTTAGGCTTTTCAGTATGAAATGTGATAATGCAGACAGTGAACCTTTGGAAAATGAAGAGCTGCTGAATAACTTACTTACTATGGGAGTAGATGTTGACATGGCAAAGAAACGACAGCCTGGAGTTTTTAATAGGAGAGGTACTAATGAGCAGAACCTGAAGACATTCCTTCTGTCTAAAGGAGCTAGCAAAGAAGTGATTGCTAGCATCATATCAAGATATCCACGAGCCATGATACGCACACCTGAAAGTCTTTCAAATCGGTGGGATCTGTGGAGAAGAATTGTGACATCAGACCTTGAAATTGTAGCTATTTTGGAACGTTCTCCTGAATCCTTTTTTCGGTCCAGTAACAACCTAAACTTAGAGAAAAATATAGAGTTCCTCTACTCAGTTGGATTGACCCATAAATGCCTTTGTCGATTGTTGACCAGTGCCCCACGTACCTTCTCCAATACTCTTGAGCTGAATAAACAGATGATTGAATTTTTGCAAGAAGTCTGTTTGTCTTTGGGTCACAATGATCCCACAGGTTTTGTCAGGAAGATAATTTTTAAAAACCCTTTCATCTTAATTCAGAGCACCAAACGGGTAAAAACTAATATTGAATTTTTACAGTCAGCTTTCAACTTGAACAATGAACAGCTGCTTGTTTTGATACATGGTCCAGGAGCTAAAATCCTAGACCTTTCCAATGATTGTATGAGAAGAAACTACACAAATATCAAAGAAAGACTGTTTTCTCTTGGGTGTACTGCAGAAGAGATACGGAAGTTTGTTTTAAGCTGTCCAGATGTGATCTTCTTGGGAGAGAAAAAGTTTAGTGATAAAATAGACTGCCTCATAGAAGAAAAAATTAGCATTTCACAAATAATTGAAAATCCTCGGATTTTGGATTCAAGCATAAGCACTTTAAAAAGTCGAATCAGAGAATTGGTAAATGCTGGCTATAACTTGAGTACATCAAACATCAGTCTTCTGTCTTGGAGTCAAAAAAGATATAATGCTAAATTGAAAAACTTAAACACTGGACAGAAAGTTGTTCTGGGGAATTAAGCAAAAGTCAGTCTTATAATGTAGTGACATAATTTCATTTTGAATTTGGACCTTTCAAAAAGGAGGTTTGTTTTCTTAACCACATATACATATATAATGTTTCTTTGGATATTTTAGTTTAAAGGTTCATAAAAACTCATGATCATTATGCCCTGGTATAGTCTTCCCAGCTACCTTTTCTGTAGTTTGAATTAGTACAACACCCAATTTTATGGTATAGGCTGTGGCTTTTGTATGAATGGTAGTTGCTGAGTGCTATGGCAGAACAATGTGTAAAAAGAAAGTACAGAATAAGCCTTTTTGGTTTCTGTTCAGATTTGAAAATTGACAGATTCATTTAGATAGTTCTATTTCCTATCATGGTTTTGAATGGCAACCTATTTCTCCTATTCCATGTATCTAATTATGGTTCATCTTCAAAATAGAATGTAAGAATATGACAACAAAAAGGAGGAATTTTTCATCCCAAATTCTACGTACTCTATTTAAACCATTAGTATGCCCCACCACTCCTCCAGTTTAGGCTCAATTTACTATGGGTATATCCTGATTTCTTTGAAGATAAGGGCAACTGTTATAGGCAGAATAATGGTTACCCAGATATCAATGTCTTAATTCCCAGAACCTGTGGATATGTTTTGTTACATTATAAAAGGACTTTGCAGATGTAATTAAGTTAAGGACCTTAATTTGACGTCCTGAGTTGGGGAGGTTATCCCGGATTATTTGGGTGGGCCCAGTATAATCATAAGGGTCCTTAAAAGTGGAAGAGGGAGGTAAAAGAAGAGGTCAGAGTGATGCAATGTAAGAAGGACTTTGACCCACTTTTACTGGCTTTGAAGGAAGAAGGGGACATGAACCAAGGAATGCAGGTAGCCTCTAGAAAATGGAAAAGGCAGGGAAGCATTCCTCACTAGTGCCTCAGAAAGGAATGCAGCCGTGCTGAGACCTTGAATTTAGCCCAGTGAGACCCATGTCAGACTTCAGACCTACAGAACCAAAAGATAATAAACTGGTGGTGTTTTAAGCCACTGAGTTTGTGATAATTTGTTACAGCAGCAAACAGACTAATATAACAACTAAATAGATGATTAGTTGCATTTTAGGTGAAGAAGTGTACCTTTAGTATAGTATCTGCATTTCTTCCTCTTATACTTTTTTTATCCACCTATCTTTCTGGAATGGCTAATAAGTTAGTGTTTGTAGTTTCCTCTAAATGTATGGATAAAAAACTAAATGTAAGTAATAAAATCTAAATAAAGGGATACTTTTGCCTAATGAGTGTAGTTTAAAGAAATAATGATGGTTTCTGTATATTTATATTTTGTTGGTGTTTCTGTTAATGCAAAGAACAAAGAATTCTTTTTTTTTAGAACCAAGAATTTTTAGAGGCCTTGAGTTAAAAAATGACAAACAGATGACATCTGTATCTTGAAGACATTCACAGTCTAGCTCTGACATAAACTGAAAGAGAAGGAACAAATTATATGACCTTAATTACTTTTAATCGCTTTCCAGAGGCATTTGTTTTCTAGATGTGGATTTTGAATTAAGTAACAATGATGCTAACCTTTTAAGCCTTTTTTTTTCTTTTATTGAAGTACATATAGTTGATTTACAGTATTATGTTTCAGGTGTACGGCATAGTGTTTCAGTATTATTTTTGCAGATTATACTCCATTATAGGTATATATAAGATAGGTACATACACCCCCCCCACCCCCAAGATAATGGGTATAATTCCCTGTGTTAAGCCTTATTTCTTATCATTGATGCCTCAAAAAACTTACTCCCACCAGTGATAGAAACCAAATGCCTGTTTTTTCAAGGCCATTTGTATGTCAGTGATCTCTTATATTTCCAATAAAGTATTTGATGGCAAGCATGGCATAATTTAGAAAGCATGGATTGTATAGAGACATTTCTTTAGAGTAGTATATCTGGGTACTATTCCTGACCAGCTCTGTAACTTTGTGTAAATATTTTAATTTTACTGAACTTGTTTTCTCATCTATAAGATGAAAAATTGACCTCACAGAGTTGTTAAGAATCAGATGATATAGGGTCTCTAAGGTTTCTTGCACATAGTAACTTTTCAATGGTAGCCATAATAAATACAGTAGTATTTTTAACAACAGCTTTATCAATGTATAATTAATATACCATACAATTCAATTTAAAGTATGCAATTCAATTTTTAAAAATACTCATATTGGGGCTTCCCTGGTGGTGCAGTGGTTGAGAGTCCACCTGCCAATGCAGGGGACACGGGTTCGTGCTCCGGTCCTGGAAGATCCCACATGCCACGGAGGAGCTGGGCCCGTGAGCCATGGCCGCTGAGCCTGCGTGTCCGGAGCCTGTGCTCCATAATGGGAAAGGCCACAACAGTGAGAGGCCTGCGTACCGCAAAAAACAAAACAAAACAAAACAAACTCAGCGCTGTGTAATAATCACCACAATCTAACTTTAAAATGTGTTTGTACTCTTTAAAAGAAACCCTTTACCCATTAGCAGTCTATCTCCATTATCCCCCTCCTACTTTCCTAGCCCTAAGCAACCACTGATCTACTTGCTGTCTATAAGATTGCCTATTCTGAATGTTTCATATAAATGGAATCATACAATTTGTGGTCTTTTGTGACTGGCTTCTTTCACTTAGCATAATGTTTCTAAGGTTCATTTTGTACCATGTATCAGTATTTCATTCATTTATGTTGCCAAATAATATTCTGTTGTATGGGTACAGTAGTAGTATTGGGAGTAAATTTTATTGTTATGGCTTAAGGTCCTGAGATGGGAAGATTATCTCAGATTATCTGGCTGGGCTGAGTGTAATCAAAGGGGTCCTTAAAAGTCAAAGAGGGAGGTAAAAGAGGAGGTCAGAGTGATATGATGTAAGGACTTGATGCACTTTTACTGGCTTTGAAGGAGGAAGGGGACATGAACCCCCTTAATTCCTTAAGTCTTCTGAGTTGTATGGGAATACTTTCTGAGGTATTGCTTTGAAATCTAACAAGTTTATAAGGAACGGTGAGGGAGGTGGGCAGAGGAAATAAAAGTTTATTGGCATCAGCTGGTCATGAGGATTATACCTGGGCTGATGAGATGATACAGCAACAGTTGCCAATGCCCAAGGAGGATGTGGGATGCACAGAAGTAAAATACAGTACTTATTTGGGGGGGTTGGGGAGGGACAACTTCCTTTGTATTCTTTGTAGAATCAAATAGCTAATGCTTGTCAGGCAAGATTAACATTATATATATATATACACACACACACATACATAATTGTTTTCGAAGTATAGTTAATTTACGATCTTTTGTTAGTTTCTGGTGTACAGCAAAGTGATTCAAAATATATACTTTTTTCAGATTCTTGTCCATTAGAGTTTATTACAAGATAATTGAATATAGTTCCCTGTGCTATACAGTAGGATCTTGTTTATTTTTTATATAGTAGTTTACATGTCATATTTTAGGTTTGAGTCTGATTGGAGTCAGTTCTTTTAAAAAAATTGAGTTATAGACATATCTCGGAGATTATTGTAGAGATTATTGTGGGTTCAGTTACAGATCACTGCAATAAAGTGAATGTTGCAATAAAGTGAGTCACATGGAATGTCTTGGTTTCCCAGTGCATATGAAAATGATTTATACTGTAGTCTATTAAGTGTGCAATAGCATACTGTCTAAAAAAACAATACATACCTTAATTAAAAATACTTAATGCTAAAAAATGCTAACTATCATCTGAGGCTTCAGTGAGTCATAATCTTCTTGCTGGTGGAGCGTCCTGCCAGGATGTTGATGACTGCTGACTGATCAGGATGGTGGTTGCTGAAGGTTGGGGTGGCTGTGGACATTTCTTAAAACAAGACAACAGTGAAGGTTAGTGCATGAATTGACTCTTCCTTTCATGAATGATTTCTCTGTAGCATGTAATGCTGTTTGACAGTATTTTACCCACAGTAGAACTTCTTTAAAAACTGGGGTCAATCCTCTCCAGCCCTGCTACTGTGTTATCAACTAAGTTTATGTAATAGTCTAAATCATTTGATGTTATTTCAACAGTCTTCACAGTATCTTCACCAGGAATAGTTTCCATCTCAAGAAGCCCTGTTCTTTACTCATCCATAAGAAGCAACTTCTCATCCTTTAAAGTTTTATTATGAAATTACAGCAATTCAGTCACATCTTCAGGCTTCACTTTAATTGTAGTTTCCTCCCTCTTTCTACCACATTTACAGTTCCTTCCTCCACTGATGTCTTGAACGCCCCCAAAGTCATCCATGAGGGCTGGATTCAACTTTTTCCAAACTCCCATTACTGTTGATATTTTGATTTCTTCCCATGAATCATGAAGTTTTTTTTTTAATTTTAAAAAATTTTTTACGAAGGTTCTTAATGGCATCTAGAACGGTGAATCCTTAATATTCTGTAATAAACCGTATGGAAAAGAATATGAAAAAGAATATATATATATATATTCAACTGTACTACAATTAAAAAAAAAAAGGAATGGTGAATCTTTTCCAGAAGATTTTCGATTTACTTTGCCCAGATCCATCAGAGGAATCACAATCTATGGCAGCTATAGCATTATAAAATTTCTTTGATAAATAATAAGACTTGAAATTACTCCTTGATCCATGGGCTGCAGAACAGATGTTGTGTTAGCAGGCATGAAAACAACATTAATCTGTGCATCTCCATCAGAGCTCTTGGGTGACCAGATGCATTGTCAATGAGCAGTAATATTTTGAAAGGAATCTTTTTTCCTGAGCAGTAGGTGGGCTTAAAATATTCAGTAGATCATGTTGTTAACAGATGCACTGTCACCTAAGCTTTCGTGTTCCATTTATTAGAGCACAGGCAGAGTAGACTGAGCATAATTCTGAAGAGCCCTAAGATTTCTGGAATGATAAATGAGCATTGGCTTCAACTTCAAGTCATCATCTGCATGATCCCCCAACAAAAGAATCAGCCTGTCTCTCTTGAAGCTTTGAAGCCTGGCATAGACTTCTCCTCTCTAGCTATGAAAATCCTAGAATGCATCTTCTTCCAACAGAAGCCTGTTCCATCTACATTGAAAATCTGTTGTTTAGTGCAGTCACCTTCATTAATCATCTTAACTAGATCTTCTGCATAACTTGCTGCAGCTTCTATTCAATACATCAGCTCTTGCTGCTTCACCTTGCTCTTTTATGTTATGGAGATGGCTTTTTTCCTTAAACCTCGTGAACCAACCCCTGCTAACTTCCAACTTTTCTTCTGCAGCTTCCTCACCTCTCTCTCAGCCTTCATGGAATTGAAGAGAGTTAGGGCCTTGCTCTGGATTAGGCTTTGGCTTGAGGGAATGTTGTGGCTGGTTTGATCTTCTATCCAGACCACTAAAACTTTCTCCATATCAACAATAAGGCTGTTTCACTTTCTTATCCTTTGTGTGTTCACTGGATTAGCACATTTAATTGCCTTCAAGAACATTTCCTTTGCATTCATAGCTTGGCTGTTTGGTGCAAGAGGCTAAGCTTTCCGTCTGTCTTGGTTTTCCAAGTCACTAAGCTTCTGATTTAAAGTGAGAGACCTGTGACTCTTCCTTTCACTTGAATACTTAGAGGCCTTTGTTGGGTTATTAACTGGCCTAATTTCAATATTGTTGTGTCTCAGGGAATAGGGAGGCCTGAGGAGAGGGAACGAGAAGGGGTGTCAGCTGGTTGGTGGAGCAATCAGAACACACAACATTTATCAATTAAGTTCACCATCTAATTTGGGCATAGTTCATGACACCGCAAAACAATTACAATAGTAACATCAAAGATCACTGATCACAGATCACCATAACAAATAAAATAATAATGAAAATTTTTGAAATATTTCAAGAATTACCAAAATGAGACACAGAGACACGGAGTGAGCAAATGCCGTTGGAAAAATAACACCAAGAGGGCAGTTGCCCTCTGCTTTGGTCTTGCTACCCCATGAGTACAGATAAATTTAGACTTTGGCCTTTTTCCACAGGAGAACAAGGCCTCTGATGAAGTTCCATGCCCTGTGGAGAACTGGTGTGTTTCTTTGATTAGTAAACTGGATGTAGTCTCTAGGCAACCACACACAGCCTCCTTTTCTAAGGAAAGTAGGATATGTGGACCCAAGTTAGAGGCATTCCTTCCTTTTTGCTTTCCTGCAAGGGAGTACTGATTGTCATGTTACGCTCTGAGCATTAACCAAAGGGTCTATAGCAAAATTAATACACTTGGGTCAGCATTATTCCTCCCTGCATATGGGATTGTATCTCTTCAGACTTGCTCAGCTTCTTCAGAATACCTTTTTCTCCTGACCAAAGCTATATGAC